ACCTTATTTCTATAAACATGCTCAACTAATGGCTGCTTATTAACATGATGCACTTTTCAACTTAACACCTAACAAATGCAACACTTCTTAGTTCCAAAAGAGGCAAAGGACAGCACTTCATAGAATAATTACCACATACCATGAGGTAGCTCGAAGGAGCCTTTGATTTTTATTTTATTTTAGTTTCCTATAGTTTAGGGGATTTTTTAATTAAATGGTTATTCGGTTATTGCAGCCAACTTGGCGCCGCCAGCCTCATTGGCGATCTATCATCAAACATCAAATGCACGCGCGTGGAATAAATGTTAAATAGCTCTTGTATGCTTTTTTCGTACTTACAGGTCTGTCAGACTTTTAAGAGTTGAAAACACTCCATTCGGTAAAAATGATACAGCGTTGTTAGACAACGATCTGTAGCAAAATGAGAACAATTATAAAATAGGCCGCCAGAAGCGAGAACAGCTAGAATTCTCAGAGAGCCTTTTTTGTGTCAGTAATTTATCCCATGCCGTCCTCTGAGTATATAACTTTTTTTCGTGCTTCGACTTGCTTGGTAAATTTGATCAGATTAATTAAACTTATGAGTTTGAATAACGATAACTTTACTTAAAAATAATTCTTCGGCTTTTTCGTTGCTCGATACGTTGGAGAACTCCCCTCAGAAACAATGAATGACTGTATTAACGTTTTGAAAGGAATTTACGGCTTAAAAATCGAAATATTCAAGTTACTCGCAGAAAAGAAGAAAACATAATTGTCGGCGTCCTGGTAGCCATGGCAAAACTTTGATCGTACAAGAATTATATAAATGAATCGAAAGAAGTGTCACTTTTCTTTTTGCTTATCATTCTCAAGGAACGCGAGACAAAGCCGAATTTGATTTTAAGACGGCATTACAACATTATATTGACGCCTAGTTGGGAAAAAAATATTTTCTCGTATTATTTTCTTCCAAGAGGACGCAAATATAGTGTGGCAGTGCCGCCTTAAAATCGCCTGTAGTTTATATTATGTAATTTGCTTATAGTCCCTTACAGTCTTCTCAAATTTATCAAATTGAAAAACAATTCCTCATGGCGCACTGCAATTACGTTGGAAGGCAAATTCCTGCAAAACAATTCATTGAATAACTTAATATAAACTACACATGCATCCAGATAGGGCTACCTGTCAAACTGTTTGTAGTTCTAGTTTGCAGTCACCTTTTATCCCGAGAAGAAATTGAATTGAGGGTAACTAAAAGTAACATTCTGATGGATATGGATCGTATCAGGGTTGCAACTAGTACTTTAGGTATTGAAAAAGTTGAAGATTTTAGGCGGGAAGTAACGTTCTGATAGATCCCCGCGTCCGCGCGTGTATTCTCGGTAAATGCGTGCCCAAAAGTAAGGCATTTATTTAAATTTTGAAAATCGATTTCTTGAATTATCAGTTGAAGATGAAAATAAAAGGACAACTTCTTCCCCTGAGCTAAATGTTTTTCAAAACTCATTT